CAAATGTGATCATGACATGAAAATATTTTAGAATAGATACTGTATTAAATATTGCCATGTTTACAATACGTAATATGTTTTTAGCTGATGGATTTAAACATGTAGATTCAACTAGAATCCATTTATGTGATATTTGTAAATAAAAATAGAAATATTGGATCCATCCCTGCAGAACTTACTGTACAGTTTAGTTGAAGTGTAGCAACGAAGAACTGTCAGCTCGACGTTGACTGAAGAAATAGTGAAAAATGTAAGTCCATACAGAGCATCTTGTGAAAAGCACTGACCACTGTGGGTTCAGCACTGACAGCAAAAATTGTAGGGCGATTGGTTCCCTTTCATCTCCTTCCTCTGAAAGGAAGAAACTAAATTTGGACATTCAGGTCAAGCTTGTACCTAGTCATAAAACTGGATCAATTATAACTTTACAGAATGAGTCATGTGATTAGACTTTCAAATCCAAGGCCTTCAGGACACTAAAGATGGGGAAATGGGCAGATTTCTTTGGAGAAAAGCTGGAAATATTAATACGGCATTTTTAGGTAAAATCTCTTGCAAGAGTTGAATTTTCATGCAGATATTTTTCCCTTAACATTGGTGCCAGTCAGCCAAACAGTATTGACTTTGAAATAATCAGTTTAAGCCCAGTCGCTCCAGGCAGAATCGAGCTCTTGGGTGGCTCCGTAGCGTTTTCCCTGTTTCTTCCTGCACCAACTCACCAGACGTCTAGTTTAATTCTTTTAGAGTCAGATACTGGATTTGTAAACTTTAGAGCTGACCTGCTGCTCAGTTTGCTTAGTTGGGAGGACTACTAAAGGTAGAAATACCACAAGGTGAAATACAGTAATGTCGTCACTGCTCTTTCTAATAACTACCCAAATGCAGAATTATTAAAAGTGATTTGAGTAAACCCAAATTAAATAGTGACAGTATGTTTCTATGGTTAACATCTTATATCAGAATGTTAAAAGTGCCTTCTGTCTTAAATCTCATACCAAATATTTTGTGTGTTGAACTTGGGCAGAAGTATCCTTCCTTCCTTTCTTAGCATGAAACAGAAAACTTGGCTTCTACAGAAAGGTTCGGTATGATCATTTTATTCCTTAGACTGAAGAAGCAGTAGCAATGTTTTTGCTTCCAGTTCCGTTCATCACTATGTTAAGAACAGATCTGAGTGCTTTATTTGCCTTCTTTTCAAGGGAGGGGACAGGTTCTGCTCTGCAAACCATAACATGTGGAGTCAGCAACTGTTCAGCAGTTTCCAACTAACAACCATAATTGACGCGATGTATTCTTCTGGCCCAAGGCAGGTATAGAATCTGAGCTGTAATGTACCTTTAACTGGTTTAAACCAGCTTTGTAAAAGATGGCTTAATTCAGATTCCATCAAGGCTTATGTTTTCCCATGAATGTGAATATTTCAATGCCTATTTTATTATATATGTATTGTTCTTGTTTCTATAGTTAAAGAACTCTGAAAGCGTTGATTAGATGTCTGGTATTTATGGAGAAACAAGCCCTAACGTTGGCGAACTGCGCAACGAGGTCATCTTGGAACAGTGCTTCCGGCTCTACCCCACAGTTTACTGCTTCTCTTTTCTCCGGTAGAGTGGAAATGGCTTCACAGTGAAGACTTCGGTGGTATATATAACTGGCCGTGCTAAACAAGTTCCTGGTGTCCCAATTTAAAATTGTTTTTCACCATATTCTGTATCAATCAGCAGAGTATAGTTAAAGCTTGTCTTGATGTTGCATTCTTGCAAATGTCTTCAACTCTGACATGAGACAATGTCAGACTATTCAGCCAGACCCTTCAAGTTTTTCCTTTGCTTTTCTAAGCCTTGGGGAAACCACTGTTTCAGTTGTAGAAAAATTGTTGCCACATTCCTGTGACCCCAGAATTAATAACCTTCTTCTCACTGAGTGATGAACACATGCTGCCTGAAACAACAGCGTGGTGACGCCTGTATCTCTGTAAGCAAAGCCCTCCCCCAACCCTGCCCAGTGATGTGATTTGGTATTTTTGCCCTGGAAGAATTTAGACTTCCCTCAACATCTAAATTCCACCTCAGAATAAGGGGAAAGTCCCATGTGATAAAATCTCTGGATTGTTATAATGATTTTAGACTGAGTATTTAAACACTGCAACATTATTTGTCACCAACATTGAAGAACAGATTAGGGAAAAAGTTGAATTTCTGCTTCTTGGCTTTCAAAATGATTTGTAACTAATGAAGTGTCTTGTTTACTTTGATAGTCTTTTATCATTTGAAGAAAGGAGGACAGTTGGGTTAGATGATACATTCTAGGGAATCTCGGTGGCCTGGAGGATTTCATTTGTTTTTTTCATTACAGCTAGTTGCTGTCAGCGAAGGTAAACTTCTGGTGGAAAAACTCAGGTTTAACCAGCTGTTTGTGCCAGGAATTACTTTGACTTGATATTTGGAGCTTCTCCTTTAAATCCATTACTTTTAACGATGTCGAAACCATTGACTATTTTCATACAAAGAGACAAAGATCTGTCATTTGGTACAAGACATCTTTGGACCTACTAGGGAGGGTATAGGACGAAGACTACAGTGAAATTAAACTGTTAGTTGCCTTTAGTTTGCTTATATTTCAGTTATTTTTAAAACTGTCAGTAAAAGTGCAGCGTTATCTTCACCAAAGCTTGACACCAATGAATGCTGACAGATCATGTCCTGAAAACCAGGATTGGACAAATGCCAATAAGAAATCCACTATCATTTTTGGCAACATATTTGGGAAGGAACACCTAATATTCAGTCTTTGTCCTAGTGAATTTTCCCCAACAGGCAAGCACAGGTGAAACATTTCTATTCAGACACTGTAGGCAGCACTTATGATTCCTAATCTGTGAGAACCACCCTTCAGTAAATCAAAGGGGGCGGGGGCGGGAGTCCGGGCTACTTGGTTAAACTTTTTTTTTTTTTTTGACAAATTAGCCCAGAAAAGGTGAAATGTTTTGTTATAAAACTGTATTAAGCATGGCCTAAGTATTAGGTGTATGATCTGTATAGTATGTTCCATCAAAAATATTTATTACTAGTGCTTTAAGCTCCAGAGTAAACATTCATTTAAAATGGAGTTCACTGGGCAGATTTCCCCTTTAATAGAGATAGAAATATTCTTTATCAGAGATTTAGGACACAGTTTTGCTAACTGGTAAAAAACAAATGTAAATATGTAAGAATGTTTATTTGTTGCACATAACTTTTTTGGTATAAAATAAATGTAGAAGTTACCTGTGGAAGTTGTGCTGCCATCATTCTTATACTGGGTGTTCCACTTCAAAAAAGAAGCGGGAATGAATTCAGGCTTATCAGAATTACTCCTGAAATTGATACTGTGACCTCATTTCTACAGGTGTGCTGAGTTGATTCCTTTTCTCTTGAATGATATGTAACGTATAGAACACACGGGCAGGATTCTTAAAGTCTAGCTCCTGGAGTTCCCGTGGCTTTATGGTGTATTATGGATGTCAAGAATTAGTGAAAAAGGGGTTACTGCTCACAGCTCTGTAAGCATTTAGACTGTTAATCAGCTGTTTTCCCACCGCTTTACTTTAGCTCACCTTGAATACTCCACCCTCATAGTCTTCTCGAAAGGTAGTATCTGCAAGAAAGATGATTCCGTTTGAAATGAGTTAGCCATATTTTATTGACTAGAACAAACATGTCCTGTGTTAGAACCTCTGGACTTCAGAAATGGACCTTACCCCTAATTTGTGAAACATTTAACTGTGTCTGTTATGTTTAATTTTTTTTAATGTTTGTCAAGAGTTTTAAATTATTCCTTGACATTAAACTGGAACATAAAATTTGATTACTTCAAGGAGCTCAAGAGTAGTGGTAACAAAAGGAATAGGTAAGCCCTAGAATTCCTAACTTTCTATTTGAACTAACTACACTCTCAGTTCTTTTCTTGGCGGGGGGTGGGGAGGAGATTAGGTTTATTTGTTTATTTTGATGGGGGTACTGGGGATTGAACCCAGGACCTCGTGCATGCTAAGCATGCGCTCTTCCCCTGAGCTGTATCCACCCCCTGTCACAGTCTCGTATCTTAAAAATGGTCTAAAGATGACCCCTAAAATGAGGTTAACTTATCTGTATACTGTCTTGCATGGAGCTTAGAAAGGAAGGTTAAAAAAGGGCGTGTGTTGAGACATGAAACAGTGAAGTGAATCAAACTTTGCATTAACAACTGTATTGGTTCAGTCTTTGATTTGATTGGACGGTATTTTTCCAACGCTTCCAGCTTTGAACCAGGACTGACGAACACCGAAATCCTACAAATAAGGCCCCTTACTTGCCTTAGTGGAGCCTGTGGAAGAAGAGGCAGGAAGGCTCCCTAAGGAAAGACCGTCCTCTGGAGCAGGGCAGGCGGCAGTGCCCAGAGGTACCAAGGCCTGTGGCACTTGCCTACGAGGCCTCGTCACATTCAGTGGGCTGGTTGTGAGGGGCCCAGTGGGCTTTTGTGCCCCTCTATCCATTTCAGTACAGGCAGAACTGTGGCTGAGGTTGGAAGAATGTTCTGGAAGAACTGGTACGTACCCCTGAGCTCCCTTCCAATTCTGACCTCCCTCAGTTCTTACCTTTCTTACGCTTCTCGGTCAGCTTAACTCTGGAAGCTGGCACACAGACCTTGCGCACTATCCCAGCAGGGTACCACTGTCTGTGAACTGGCTGGGACTTCAGCCCATCTGTGGAGTTCAGTGTCACCCACTCCAGTCAAGACCGGAGTGTGGTGGCCGAAAGCACAGGTGGGATCTGAGCGCAGGTGGCCCTGAGGCTGCTCCTGGGGCAGCACCCAGTCTGTAACCAGCCACCCTGAGTGCAGTGTGAGCGCGGAAGCAGAGGCTTCTCAAGAGTCCACACTCAGTTCCAGCCTGAAAACAGCCTGACACATGGAAGCAACTTGAGATGCTTTTCAGTGGTACCAGTCATCCAACACATGGGTGGTCACTTACAAGACACCTCTTTATTCCCATACCACAAAAGCCTTTATTTTCACCTGTAACGTTCCCTTCTAGCACACTTCCACAGAATCCAGACCGGGAACCTCCCGGTCTGCTGGGCGCAGTCCAAGAAGTACTTGTCTGTGTGCTGTGGACGTCGCCCCTCGCTTGGGGAGCAGGGAGCCGACGGAGCCGGTGTCGACAGAGAGGTAGTTCTTGCTTTAAAAGGTAAACGGGCTGTTTCCCACACACTGTGGCTTCACAGCTGACTGGTGGTGCCAGGTTTCATTGGCGAGTTTCCAGTATCTCTCTCGCAACAGGAATGCTGCACTTTTCGGTTGCCTCTGACGGGTGAAGATGCCCTTTCTATTCCCTATTGCTCTCTGTGGTGCTGGAAACAAGACAAAAGGCATTTCAGGTGACTCCCGATGGGCCAAGCCAGAACCAGCCTGGAGCCAAGCTGGGCCCTAAACAGACATCCTCTCATGGTTCACAGCTGCCTGGTCTGAAGTGGTATCTGAAGTTGCCCCTTAGTGAGTTAAAGGTTTAAATACCACTGCTCCCCCAAAACACTTAAGCCCCCTGGTGTGTTGATTTTTCATGTTAGGGAGAAAAATCCAAAACTGTTTATCTTTCACTTGCAAAATAAGGTTTAAGACATGATGGGGACCCAGCTGCCTCGTAACTGGAGTGGGGCTGAGACAAGGCATTACCCTTGGAAAAAAGCTTGGGCCTTTCTGGGGACACAGCTCTCCTAGTGGGAGCCAGAGTCTGGACCAGTCAAATTTTTAAGTTCTCCAGGGCAGACTTCCGGCTGGGGCAGATTTCCCACTGGGTCCCCACTGCTGGTGGCCGGTCCACCAGGGCTGGAGCCGGGAAGGGGGCAGGGCTGACAACAACCTGTCGGGTTGCCCTTCCAGCACAACTTCTCTACTTCCCAGAGAAACCACTGCTTCTGTTAAGAGAAAAGGAGGTCTTTCCCATGGAGAAGTTCAAGACGAACTTGAACTTGAAAAGCAAATGCCAGGTCCTGTGCCAAGCACTTCATCAACTGGACTCCCCGCATCCACCGGCAAGGTGGCAGGCACTTTACAGGCTGATGAAAAGGTCAGGTGCCCTGTCCAAGGTCACACAGCTCATTTCTTAGTACACGAAGCCAGTGCACCTACTCACCAAACCAGACTTCCATCCAAGGTATTTCCAAGAGCCATTAATCTCATGCGCCAAGCAGAGTGGGGGGCTCGTATTTTCTTTCTTTTTTCTCTTTACCTCTTTCCATTCTGATTTTTAATTAAACTTGAACCTTCCAAAAACTTGTCTTTCCCCGTAAGTAATGTAATGTAATTCCCACTACTACCAAATCCTTCCCTACCTCCCCAGATCGCTATCCTAAGTTGACGGTATTTTAAGAAGCTAGTAACCGAGAGGTGTAGGAAGAAACGGGAAACATTCATTTGGAACTTTTGTGCTCATTATCCCCACTTGAGAAAGTACAGATCGTATTCACTCTGAAGGCTTTTAAACACTCCCACGTTCAAAACGCTTTGACACTTACCTGTATTCGTTGAATCTGCCTTTTTATAAGTGAATAATGTCAAACACACTGAAATATCTTAAGTTTCTTGGGCTTTGTAGCTTACTCTGGAATAATGAGCGAATCCCACCCGTAAATCCAGCATGAGCTCCACTTTTGCCTCATAGTGTGGTGAAACGGACAGAGACAAGTTAGCCATCCTTGCCTGGAGGCAGTAGGCTCTTCCACTTGCTCATTTACCATAAAACGATTCAGGAAGCAGGCAAGTGACTGCTGCTTGCTAAACACAACTTACTTTTCCTAGGAAGCCCTCCATGTGGCCTGCATGGATTAGATCAGCTTTTTCCCTTCTTGTCTCCAGCGTTCTTACAACCAAATGTCCTGAACTAAAATGCCAACCTGAAAAAATGAGAAGGGGTACATTCCATACACCAAACTCTGGTCACTTACACTGGTCGGTCATAAAATCAGCAAAATTCCAGATGAGCTCTCCGACCACGTATTCTTTGCGCTTTTGATCCAGGACCAAGTGATATTGCTCTAGCAGGCCTTTCTGGTACTCCTCACTGAACATCAGAGGCGGGTCCTGGAATTCAAGGCAACGGGAGAATTTCGGAGTCAGAACTAGCAGAACTGTAAACGTTAGAGAAAAACAAAGACCCACGTGACAAGGGCCGAAGCACGCGTCCTCGTGGTGGGCTGCAGTGCCCGCCCGGCTTGCTGATGCTGGTGCAGAGAGAGGCGCAGCCAGGGTATGACACAGCCCAGAGTGAAAAGGATTTTTGACAAAACTTAGTGAGTAAACTGCTTTATTTTATAAACAGAATTTGCTATTTCCTTTATCTTACTTTTCCATCTCTATTCCCCAGTGCAGTCTTAAAGCTGAACTCTGCTGGAAGTAAAAATATGTCCCTGGACAATAAATTTAAAATGCAAGTTTTAAGTGGCTGCTAGTGCATAATTTGAGAACTGGTGTGATTCAGATTTAACTCGCCTCAGATTCATCTGTGTCTCGTCTGGGTGAGTATCTGCTGTTTAGCACATGCATCCATTCAACAAATAATTATTTAGGATCTGCTCATATGGCAGGCATCGGGGACAAAGTCGGACAAACGAGAAAGATAGGGTCCCTGCCCTCACAGGCTTTATGACCTGGCAAGACACAAGCTGTGAGTGTAATGAGGGTGAACAGGGAGCATGCAGGGTGGGGGCTGAGGCTGGGTCCACAGACAGCTGCCCTGAGGAAACACTTTAGCTGAGACCTGTCAGGTAAGGAGAAGGCTATCCTCAACAAAAGCAGAGGCCACATCTGGGCTCACTCAGTATTTGCTGAAGAGCTCCTGTGTGTCACAATCTAAGGTATAATGATCTTTTCAGGTATTCCTGGAGCACAAAGTCTGAGTTTTCATCCCATGGGAACTTGGCCAGGGCGGCACAGGGGGTGAGGCGGCTGCTCAGTCTTAGGTGCTAGGGATGCAGCATTTCAATCACCTCACGAGAGAACCAAACCCTCCTAGCTTTGGCTCTCCTTCCCAGCGAGCAGGATTCAAATGCTATTATACGGGATGCACTGAAGATAAGACTGTGCAACTGAGCCCTGTTTTGTTCCCGTCCCAGAGCAAGAGGTCGAGTTCCTTACTGTGTTTTCATGGAAAGGACCTGCTTTGTCTTAAAACTAGGCGCATGCACATGACTATTTAAATTTAAAACTAAATGAAACTACATTGCCTCAGTCACGCTCGTCACATTCCAAGTCCTCAGCAGCTACACGTGGCTAATGGTTCAGAACATCTCCATCACCACAAAACGCTGTATCAGATAGCGCTGACCTGGGCTCTTTTTTTTTTATATTTATATAGTTTATAAAAAACAGAAAGCTGTTTGTTGCTTATGTATATAAATAAATGGTAAAATTACAAACAAATCATTGCCCATTCTCCAGTTAGGTTACCAGAGCCAATAAATGGGCTCTTTTAGAATTTCTTAAAAACTCAGAGTTGGTTACCTCTTCAAAGAGGGGGAACAAGTGTGCATATATTTTTGTCTTCATGAGATACTCCCCTCTACTTCACCAGTTTGCAGAAGTGCCATTCTGTGTAAGCAAGATGGATGCAAGGGTGTGAACAGAGTAAGGCAGTCCACGTGGGTTCCCGCTGAGCACACAAGGATAAGCAGACTAGGAGAGCGGTGTCAACAAGGAGTCCCAGTAGTTGTGACAGGTGAGTGTGCGGTGGCTGGTGGGGATGAGGGGCTGGCTCTGGTCCAAGAATCCACATGGGAAACATCCCCACAAGACAAAGCAGCCTCTCTTTGGTGAGGAAATGGACCAAACAATGAGAAAAAGCTAGTGATTAAACATTGTTCCAAGATCTCACTCACTCCCTTGACAAATATTATTTAGCACCTGCTGTGTGTCGGACACTGCTGAGTGCTCGGGAAGCAACAAGAAATAGGACTGAGTCTCCCTCCTGGAGCCCCCCGTGTGGACGAAGAGAGAGGCAAAGAAATAAGGACCGTGCACAGTGAGGCATACTGAGAAAGACCGAGGAGAGGGGACAGTTCCTCTGCCTGGGCCGGTGGGTAAACTTCACCAAAGAGGGGCCAGCCAGCTGAGGCGCCAACCCTGAGTGAGAGTCCAGGAGCTGGCGATCACGGTGCCAAAGAGGCATCGCAGGCGGAAGGAACGGCCCGAGAGCTAGAGCCAAAGAGCATAATGAAAACAGTCCAGGGTCCAGAGGTGAAGGCAGAGGAGGGTGAAGACCTGGGAGAGGACAGAGGGCAAAGGACACTAACCGCCCTGACCAGGGATGAGGGCTCTGTCCTGTGGGCCAAGGGGAGCCAGTGACGGGACTCTAAGGTCTAGATTTGTTCGAAAGACCACTTGGGCAGCGAGTGGGAGGCTGGAAACCAGGCCCATAAGGAGGCTGCCTGAGAATCATGCAAGTGTGGAGGGGCAGGTTGGGGTGGGCTTGAAGATCGGTGGGGAGACAGATCATCAGGACAAGTGATGAACAGGGGAGGAGGCACCTTCCCAGCCTGGGGCAAGGAGTGACATCACATCCAAGAAAGTGAAAACATAACCTGAATGTTCTACATTATTTACCTGGTGAAACCCTGCAATGGTTTCTGCTCCATACTCGCTCTGAATAATTGGCTTCTGGTAGGTCCGGTACCAGTTCTCAAACTGGGTGGCCAGCTGCAGCTGAATCACCTCCATGTGCCCATAGTCATGATACCAGGAGTAGTAACTGTTCACACAGATGACGTCCACATACGGCACCTAGAACAGTGTGCAAAGCTTGTTCACCGTCCAGACTGTGTGACAGCGTTAGGGCTCTCACACTTGCGGGGGCTCTTCCCACAGAGGTAAGGCAGCGGTGCAGAAAACAATTTAGATGCTCATGTGTGTTGGAAATGTAGTCAGATACTGAATGGAGCAAGTCTCTAATGCTGGGCGGGGGCCCCTGACCTGGCTGCAGGCGGGCCCAGGGCAGGGGGATGAGAGGCGGAGTGGGCGCCAGACACCCAGGCCCCAGTGGGGGAAGCCCAGGGCCCATCCCAACCGGCTTGGTTCCTCCCTAGGTTGCACTCCTGTACCTGGCCTTCCCCCTGGCCCTGGAGAAATGTCCCAAAATGTGGGACAGAGGTAGTTTTCCTCCTCACAAAGATTCTGGATCCACCTTCGTGAGTTCATGCTGGGTGCCATGAAGCGGCTGGAGAATTCCCTCCTGGGAAGGAAGCCAAGATAATGGGGCAGGACTGCCTCAAGTGGGGCTGGAGACGGAGCAGCATGGCTCACCTGAACATGTGCTCACTTCCAGTGTGCTCAGGGGCCGACGGGCCCCGTCTTTCCCAAGTGACCGTGGCACCCTTCCAAACTGGAGGCGGAAAGATGCAGACGGGGAGGCTGGGTGTGTGAACATGGCTCGCACACCCCAGATGGGTCTGGCAGCCTCCCGAGGGGTCCGGCACAGGTCCCCCGGCCCCTCAAATGGGTCTGCCTGTGCCCTGCTGGTGTTTCCCCACAATCTTTGTGCTCCTCTGAAGGGGGTGTTCTCAGGGTGGCAGGTGAACCCCACAGCTTCAAACCATCCCTTCCATGTTAAAGTGACAGTGCTCACAATTTTTATTTGTGTAGTATTTTCTCATCCATTCTTTCTTTAGAGGATTCTCTTTCTGGAGCACTTTTAAGTACTGGCCTCTGTTCTCCAGGGCAGGAGCATTTTCTTGCTCCCAGGTCTTACAGCTTCGATGCAACTCAACACACAGTTTGTGAGGGGCTGCTGCCCCCAGAGACCGTGAGGGCGGCCATGGGGTCCAGCCGGCTGTGTGGCCCTGTCCTTTCGATTCTCAATCCCAGGGGCTGGCAGTCTGAGGTTCCCCCGGCTGGCTGATGACTGGACTCACTGAGGAGCTTTTCAAAACCTCAGATGCTCACCCTGGACTTGCTAAATCAGAATCTCAGAATCCAGACCTCTGTACTTTCAAAAAGCTTCCCTCAGTAGAGGGGGAGGGGATAGCTTAGGGGTAGAGTGCATGCTTAGCTCCCACGAGGTCCTGGGTTCAATCCCTAGTACCTCCATTAAAATAAATAAACCTAATTACCTCCCTCCACCAAATAAAAAAAATTTTTAAAGAGAGAAAAAAAAATAAAAAGCTTCCCTCAGTGGTCCTGACTCTGCCAGGTTTGAGGAACACGGGACAATGGCAACTTTAAGCTCTGCCCTTTTATGACCATAGTAAACTGAAGGGCATAAAATTACAGTGAGAGACATAAAAACGTATGAATCTGAACTGAGAATGAATACAACCTCCCTGTGCTCAGCCTCCATAGAAGAAGCTGCACTGCTGGGCAAGTCGGCAGGAAGTTCTCTTTACCCTAAAGACCACCTATGGAAATGGCTGGACTGGCTGCTCATGGGCCCTCCCGGCAGTTCATTTCAGCAAGCATCAGGGTAGGACGAGAGGACAGGCAGAGGGGAGACACGACGTGAAGACCCCCAGGCTCACCCCCAGGTCTGCTTCATAGCTGGACTTGGTCACAAAGGTCACGGGCCGGGAGGGGTCCAAGGCTTTGGTGTGGGCAATCAGCGTCCTGTCCACGGGGGGCAGAAGACACGGCGCCGTCAGTCAGGGAAGAGCTCTCGGATACCCACCTTGCCTCCTCTCCCTCCCATCTTCCCAGCTGGAAACACCAGGAGCACTGCTCTCCTCCCTCCCTGCCTTCAAGTGTATTTCAGGTAAGCAAACATGTTCCTCCAGACAGCATGCTCCCTGACACCATTCCTTCTCTTTCCCCTCTGCAAATCCCAGCCCCGTCCCCACCCTCTCACCCTCAGGGGGTGGCCTTCCTCCAGGGGTGAGAGGGACACAGAGCTGAGGTCCTTGGGCTGGGCACTGCCAGAAGCTAGCTTCTGCATCTCTGGCAAAGCTCTTAAAAACAGGAATGGATGGGGTATGGATTAAGATGGATGTTAATTTAACAAATAATGAGGGAGCAAGTGCGAGGAGGCCAGCTGTGTGCTGGACACTCACTAAAGACTTAAAGAGCCACACAGCACGTAGCCTGTGGCAGGACAGACACCAGCACAGGTGGATGTGACTAATGAATGACAAGAGGCAGGAATTAGGGAAGAGGAAGCACAGGGCTCTATGAGACAGTGACAGGGCACATCATCAAGACTGGAGAGTCAGCGGGGCCTCTCGGAAACTGGCATTCCTGCAGATTCGTGTTAACCAAGGAGCAGTGGCGGAGGAGGCTCCCTGACAGACGGGCCGGTCTGTGGTCGGGGCTCGGCCTCCCCAGTGCAGACCACCCTCACTCACTGTTCAGTCCTATTTTTCTCTTCCTTTTCCTCACAGCTGGTTTTTCTTTCCTTGATCGCCTCTCCCCTCACTGCTCCTCTCATTCGAAGGCTGTGGTTCTCACAGGCTAGAACAGTGCCCCCAAAACCACTGTCTGAAACAGCCCATTTGTCATCCGGGGAGCTTCACAGCTCAGCCCAGCTCCTCCAGCCCAGGCAGCTCTACCCACATCCAGCCCCATTCCCGCTGCTCCCCCGGTCACGCATTCCCCTCTGTCCCCCTCCCCAGGAGGCCCCTCGGGAAGCGCGAGCTCTCATTCCTGGGGGCCTGTAGTCCTGTCTGTCCACGAGCCAGGCTCAGCACACCCGCGCCCCACTACGTGCTCCAGGACTGTGTTTGCAGAGCTTTCCTTCACCCAGTGGGCCCGCTCCTCAGAGCCCCAACTCGGGACACTGGGATGCATGCAGTGACTGCCTCAGGCACTATTTCAATGGCCCCTGCTGCCTCTACAGTAAGAGAAATAATCCCCCTCTACAGGCTACATTACAGCTGCACGATCATGGTGCGGGGAGAGCAGAGTCCATGCCTAGCATGCATGACACTCATGAGGTCCTGGGCTGAATCCCTAGTACCTCCATTTAAATAAATAAATAAACATAATTACTTCCCCCCTAAAACAAAATATAATTTTTAATTAAAAAAAACCCACAACAACTGCACGATCATAAGGAAGAGAAGGAACCAAGGAACACCCCAAGGAAGGCCAGCCTCCCTCAGGGACCATGAACCCTCCCCCTTCAGGGAGATGGCCCCTAAGCGGTGTTTCTGTCCAAAGCAATGCCTGGGGGAAAGGCAGAGCTACTGGCATTCAGTGAACGGACTATGAACTTTAGATAAGCCTGGTCCTGTCCAAAGATGTAATTTTAGAATCGTTAGAATATGCATGTCATTGAAAAACCAGTTTATAATTATGTACCTAGATAAGCTGGTTTTACAGGCAGGGCGAAAGTTTCACAGAGTTGTGTTTTATTTTTTTTCCAGTTTTAACTCACTCAATTTCCCAGATATGGAGATATTGTAAAAATTGAGGGAAGAAGATACTTGGTTTTGTTTGGAACTTCACCTAGAGTGGCTCACTGGTTTAAGAAGCGCAGCATTAAAAGGAACGCTGCTCAGGGTATCAGAGCGACCAGCTTTTGTAGCTGTGTTCCAGGGAGATGCCATGTCCAGCTGCAAGCATCTGGTCTCTTCACTGGGTCTCCTGGGGAGTCAGGCCCAAGCACTCATGTGTTACTTTACCAATGACTCTCCCTTTGTATCACAGTTAGGCCATGTCACTATTTTTTTTAAACTTGAAGTTATGCACGTAAGTAGGTTTTGTTAACTCTGGCTTTCATTTTAGGTGTGGAAAAGAGACACCCGGGCTCACTGGGTTGAAACTGCAATTTGGGTGGGTGGGTATTTGGTTCCTTGAACTAACCAGTTACGGGTCCCCCTGGGCTGGGAGCAGACGCTGACCCTCTCACGACCCACACCCACCCCAGGACTCACCCAGCCCTCCCGTGGCTGCCAGCCCAGGCTGAGCTGGGCCAAAGGGCTGAGGTCTCCTGCCTGCCTGACCCAGCCCAGGGGAGGCGGGGGCACTCACTTGAAGTAATACCCAGCTGGCTTCAGGGAGGAAGCAGGCTCGTTGGCCACGGACCACATCACAACGGCCGGGTGGTTCTTGTCCCTGCGTACCATCTCCTCCATCACCTCCAGGTGGTGCTGCAGAGACATGTTGCTGAGGCTCTGGCTGCAGGGCCGCAGGAGGAAAGGGAGTGGGTCAGGCAATCACACAGTGCCGGGCTGGGCGGGCTGGGCAGGGTGGGCGGAGGGCGGAGGGTACTCACGCCAGCGCGATGCCCACGCCTGGACTCTCATCGATGACCACGATCCCATAGCGGTCGCAGAGCTGCATCACCTCCTCGGCGTAGGGGTAGTGGCTGGTGCGGAAGGCGTTGGCACCCAGCCAACGAAGCAGGTTGAAGTCCTTCACCAGCAGTGGCCAGTCAAAGCCCTTCCCTCGGATCTAGGGAACAGCAGAGCAGAGTAACCCCCTGACCGCTGTCCAAGACGTGCTTCCTTCTGGAGCCCGGCCCCTCAAGAGTCACCCCGCTTGCCCCCCCATCCAGACCAAGCACACGCCCCATTAGGCAGGGGTTTTGTGCTGAAGTACTTTTGACGAATTGCTCTGAGCTGCCCTTGACCGCTCCAGGGGACATGGGGAAGAGGTTGGAGAAAAACAGCCCCCACCGGGACCCAGCAGCCCCAACTCACATCTGCATCCTCATGCTTGTTGACCCCATGGAAATAGAAAGGTTTCCCATTGATGAGAAACTGGCTCTCTGTGACCGCCACGGTGCGAATCCCCACGGGGAGGGTGTAGAAGTCAGACACAGGCCCATCTGCCGTCTGTGCGGTCAGCCTCACCTGTGAAAGCCAAGCCCTGGGTGTGAGGCATCCTTGGTGGCCGGAGCCTCATGCAGCCTGCACTTCAGCAGGATGGCCCCTTGTAAACCACAGCGGCCCACCTCTGGGACTGCAAGCAGAGAGATGCAGAAAGTACAGGCCTCTGCCGTTAGCAAGGAGGAACTCTCGCCCACCCTCCCCCTGAGGTCTGCTCTTCAAAACTGGGCCTCCCCACCAAAGATTGAATGAATCAGGCTTGGGACACTTCGACCCAAGTGGCTAGGAAGCTCAGAGGACCACGCTTGCCCGCCCACCCATCTGGCACCACTGCTGAAGCCAGGATTGGGGGGTAAAAGGCCTCCCACAGCCCCAGGCCTCACCACCGTTACCTCCAACGAGTACAGGTAGGCAGGGTGCTCGTGCATCAGGTACGGCCACCAGAGGTGGGCCCTGGGCACCTGCAGCTGGCCCTGGCCCCCTGTCCCCTGGGCCACGGCCCTGCCGTCCTCATCCAAAAGAAAGACTTCTAGCTGGAAGTGTTCACTTCCCTGGATGAAAATCTGGTAATTCACTAGCCCTGCGGGAGAGGAGAGAGAGATCAGACAAGAGAGAAGAGGCAGGGGTGTGACCTGGGGCTGACAGAGGAGCGCTCCCTGAGGCTACCGCTCTGAGGAGTCCCCAGCTGACAGCTGTCCATTTCTTGAGCTCAGTCAGCAGCGACGGGAGATTGAGTGAGGGCAGCACAGAGGAGAATGGACACGGGTTCTCGTGAATTCTGAGCTATGATGTTAGACAAGCCCCTCTTCTCAGTGGACCTCATTTCCTCCCAAAACGAGGTCAGAGCAGACACGTGATTTCTGAAGCCCCTGCCAGCTCGGAGAGGCTGGACTTTGGTTTCTGAGGTGGATGGAAGCTTGAGAGTGTGGAGACGCCGGGAGAGACTTTCTCCTGCGGGATCTTTCCAAATGGGGAACAAAGCTACTTGGGGCTTGGCCAAGGGCAGATCTTGCCAGGAGCCTCACCAATGTCTCGGTCCACGTCGGTGGTGATGGTGATGTCATCAATGTAGCTGATAGGCGTGGTGTAGAGGAGCACAGACCGGTGCAGTCCCGCGTAGTTGAAGAAGTCAAAGTTGGTGTTCTGGACAAAGTAACCCTTGGGGTACCTAGGATGGGAGGAGAGGAGCCAACTGGGGCCTTGCCCTGGGTCCTCCAACATTAGCTCACATGTCTCATTGGCCTCCCAGAACCAGGGCCTCACTTCTGCTAAGGCCACCCTGCCCCTGGTGGGAAGGCTGCTCACTGGGCAGGGGTGGGGAGGGGGGCAGTTGTTGGGGAGGGAGGTGTGGCTCACTTGGAGGTGTCGGTCTGGTAGAGGATGGTCCCTGGCGGCAGGGTGTAGGGGGAGAGCGTGTTGTTGATGGCGATGGTAATGCGGCAGAAGGACAGGGGCCCACTCTGGACCAGCTTGCTGATGTCAGCCTCGAAGGGGAGATGGCCCCCCTCGTGCTCTGCCACATGGACCCCATTCACCCACTGCAGACATAGGGAGGGATGGGGGGGCCCTGCTGTCTCAGGCACTCCCTCACATAGAAAGGCAGCATAGGGGGTGGTTGGGAGCCCTGCCAGCTGCCACCTGTCTCAGGAGTGGAAGAATGGAGCTCCAAGGGAACAGATTAGGCAACCCTCTCCCACCCAGGGCACAAACCCCAGTGCGGGGCATGAGTGTGCCCCCCACGCACCCAGGAGGCAGGCTATCAGGTGACAGCTGGGAGCCAGGCACCCCAAGACAGCCGCATGCACGCTCAATGGCCCTACCCATCCACTCGCCCTGCTTGTGGCACTGACCACGATGGCATAATAGTGGGCACTGCCAATCCTCAGCACCACTCTTGTGCCCAGGTCCTGCGTCCACCGCTGGGGCAGGGTGGCCTCCCGCTCGTACCACACCCAGCCAACAAAGCTCCGCAGCCGCCCGTCCTGGCCCACGTCGTTGAAGCTGGAGGGAACCGGCATGTCCAGGGTGGGGCCCGACTGAGGGAACAAGGGCCGGAGTCAGGTCCAGGTCACCTAGGAATCCAAGGGGCCAGGTCCCCCAGCAACCCCATCTGCAGGAAGAAGGCTGGACCAGGTGACTTCTCCCAGACCCTCCCCGATTCCAGGCCGCCCTGCCATTGTTCTTTGCCAGCAACCAATGTCTTTTATGGACTCATTTAATCTTCACAACTCTGTGAAGTAGATCCAGTCATTCACTCACTCCGTCAACGGTGTACAGTGAACACCTACATGCTGTTCTGGGCGCTGGGAATAAAAGAGTGAACAAAACAGTTAACAAGGCCTCTGCTGTCAGGTGATCAGCTCTGTGAAGAGTGTGGACAGTGGCAGAGGGCTTGCTGCGGGGCCAGGGAAAGCCTTTTGGGGCCAGGGCCCATTCAATACTGCCTCTGCACATGCTGGCCAAACTAGGTGAACCTGGGCCCTTCAGGGAATCGCCTGAACCTCGAGATCCTTGAACACCTCAGACAGAAGGCAAGGCAGGAGTGGGGCAGATAGCTCAGTGAGTGAGTCTGGAAGCAGCCTGGGGAAGAGCTTCCTAAAAATATCTTGTATACGGAGCATGTGACCCCCAAGGAGGCAAAGATTTCCTATCCTTCACAGTTGCAGGCCCAGTGTATCTAGCTGTATGGTTAACTTGCTGATGAGCAACCAACTGCTAGGATGGTTTCTGTCCCTGGTCTGGTGGGGCCAAAAGTTCTTTCTCAGGGCAGCGGGCACCAAGGTATCCATGGAAAAGGGTGCGCCCAAGGCCATAACCAGCGTTGGGCAAGAGGGATCTGCAGAGACCAGACCCTGACTAAGAGGAAGATGATCAACTGACAGTGCCAGAGAGGAAGGCAGGCCAGGGCGCAGGGCCACTATGGTGAGGAAACTGTGAGTGGGGCACATGCACACTCTCCCTTCTTCCTCTGCTTGATGAAGGCTAGGCAGCCAGGACGGAAAAGAGGATCTAAGTGAGGTGAGCGTCGGATAAGCACACAAGCCTACTCCTGCCCCAGCCCTCGCCACCACTCTCCACCTGCGACCTAAGTCAGAGGGGAGACCCGGACAGGGGCGTCCTCGGCTGGCGGGATACCAAGCCCCGCCCTCTACCTGAACCCAGGGTCCTTCCTGCCAGGGCAGAGGTGGCCCCAAGATGTCCAAAGCCTCCCCTTCTTCCCCTGCCCTGCCACCCGCCCCCCACTCGGGTGCACGGACACTGCCCCGCCTCCGCCTCCGAACAGACGTCGGGCCCGCCCATTTCCTCCTTCAGGGTCCCTCCCCGGGTGGGCCGACCCCACGCCCCTCAGCCCGTCCACCTTTAACCTCTTAGCGGCCGGCAGCTCCGAAGGCACAGGGGAAGGCTCCCCACGGCCCCCTCCTGGCTTCCAGGAGCTTCCCTGCCCTGATCCCGTGCCCCTCCCCAGAGCCCGCACCTCCCGCAGCGGTGCCCGGTACCACTGCTGCTCGAAGCCCTGGCGCCGGTTGTCGGAAAAGTCGGCGCGGAAGCTCCAGAGGCCGTCGAGCTCCTTGCGCTCCCGCGACCGGCTCTCCCGGGGGTAGAGCATCCCGCCCTGCAGCAGCGCCAGCCCGCAGCCCCAGAGCAGCGGGCCGAGCACGGCCCAGACGCCCGCCCGCTCCCGCAGCATGGTTTCCGCGCGGCAGCTAGCTGCTTGCGGCCGGGCGCCGGGTGCTGAAAGCGC